AGGACTGGTTTTGGATTGTTCTTGAGTATCGTGTACACCCCTTTCTTGACACTTCATTTTTCCTTTAAAAAGGGCGCACTATACGCAAATATTAACGGTAGTCGTTGGTCAGACATAAAATATCTAAATCAGTCAATAGCAATTTATAATACGACAGTTTACCCCTTCGGGAACCTCAAAGGTGCCTGATTCATACTCGGAACATCTTTAGGTTATATGTAATTCCCGTGGGGAATTTGGAACGCCTTTAGATTGTATGCCATTCCTGTTTATCCAAGAGCTTGTAATTAGCGCCTGGTATATTCCGACAGAAGCAAGATACACAGCAGCCCTCCTAACAGAGGTCAAAATCTGGGACTGAAACCAAAATTAATAGTCCCCACTGGGGTTCCCCCAGGGGTGACTAAAAAGATTGTGAACAATACAACTAACCGCTGTGAAATGTGCGTCAGAATAGTAGCAGGCTGACACATATATACATGAAATTTTCCAAACTATGTGAATGAAATATAAACAAACATATGCAAAAGATATTATTGCTTAATTATCACTCAAAACTGAACCAGAATTAGATTGAGAAATATATTGGCTACTCATTGCATCTGTATTAACTTTTGATACAGTCAAATCTACACACATGCCTTAATAAATTTTATTGATTGCAGAAAATCATCATTATTAATTGTAATATTTAACTGTGCTTGAAATATCATACCAGCATATATTTGAACATTTCGCAGACCCCATACACAGAAAAAAGGGTGATTAAATGCTTTATCTAGAAGTTAACAATAACAAAATATTGCATATTACAAATATGTGTCTTGAAAAAGGAAACATTAAGCTGTTTTAGGTAGGAATAAATTATATGTATATTTTCAAATGAATTTTAACAATACATGTCATTGTACAATACCAGAGAGCTATTTATATTGCAGGTTAGATCTGTAGTGGAACTGGACTGGGTCGATCGTTGGCGACCAGGTAGCTAAACTGATAGAACGCCCGTTTTGAGTTCGGGGGGTCCTGGGTTCGAACCCCAGTCTGGTCCTTGCATTTCTCTTTCTCCTGTTCCGAAAATGGGGATGCTTGCAAACTCTTGTTTCAAGCACTGGGTGAATGTTAATAGTTGTGTCATCATGGGCGAAGACTTAGAAAAACCGACCGAGGAATATTACTATGTAGTGGAACTGGACTGAACATTGAACATTTTTGATGGAAAACTTATTACCGTACCCGAAAAAACCCTAAGTATGTGTTATCCACAGGCATAGTGTATTAATTCTTCATCTTCTTCATCTATCAACCTTCCTCCGTCAATATTGACGATTACGGAATTTTTGAGTTTTGTTTTTGTGCTGTAGTGCGTTGTTATGTACAGTGTTGTTGTTTTTTGTGGATTTTTTTTTTGCTATAGGATTAAAACAGGTTAAAAGCAGTGAGTGTTAGTAATGTTGCAATATATGTTCGATTATGGGATATAAAAGACATATATATTCGTCTCTGGTTATATGTGGTGCATGTCCTGAATTCTGCTAGTGTTTCTGATTGTATTATTGTTTTGGGTAGGAGGTTCTACTGTATTATGGTGTATGGAAAGAATGAGTGTCTGTATGTGTCTTTGGATATGTAGATATGCCTGTAACTAAGGTCGTGTCCTTGACGTGTTCTGGTGTCTGCCGGGATGAGATTGTTAGCGTGTATTGTTACTTGTTGGTGTATTATTTTGTAGAGAAGAATAATGTGTGTTCTTGTTCTGCGTGTGTGTAGTGTTGGCCATTGCAAGTTGTGTATCATATCTGTGACTGAGCTAATATTAAGGTATTTGTTTAGGACGTATCGTGCTGCTCTTCGTTGTACTTTTTCTAATTGATTTATGTTATTTGTGTAATGAGGGTCCCAAACTGAAGAGCAGTATTCAAGCGTTGTTCTTAAAATGGCCTTGTATGCATGTTCCTTTATGTGTGGTGAATTTATTTTTAGGTTGCGTTTCAGAAAGCCTAGTGATTTATTTGCATTTGATGTGATGTCGTTAATGTGTTTGTCCCATTTAAAGTTGTTTTGAAGTATGATGCCTATATAGATATTTGTTTGAAGTTACAGATTCTAGTATGTGGTCATGGAGTGTGTATTGGTGTTTAATTTGTGTGCGTTTTGGTGATATAGTGAGTACGGTGCATTTGTCTGGGTGGAATTTAATGAGCCTTCCTCTTCCCATTTACTAGCTGAATCTAAAGCTGTTTGTAGTTTTGTCGTGTCGTCTTTGTTGTTGATTGTTTTGTATATTATGCTGTCGTCTGCAAAAGGTCTTAGTGTACTGTGTGATATGTATTTGGGGAAGTCGTTGATGTATATGAGGAAGAGGACTGGTCCCAAACGGGTTCCTTGGGGCACTCCAGATGTTACTTGGAATTTGTCGGAGTGTTTGTTCTCCAGTAATACTGTTTGGGTGCGTTGTGATTGGAAGTCTGTTATCCATGTAAGTATGGTTCCGGTGATGCCGTAATATTTTAGTTTGTACCGTAAGTCCATTATTATAATGTCTGTTTGTTGTTATTGTGGTTCTGTGCAAGGTCTTGTATGAATGTAATGAGTTGTGTTTCGCAAGATCTTGATGTGTGCAAGCCATGTTGTAGGTCGTGCAGTATTTTGTTGTCTTCTTAGTGTTTCATGGTTGCACTTGTGATGATGTGTTCTATGAGTTTGCATGCGATGCATGTGAGTGATATTGGTCCGTAATTTATTTGGTTGTGTTTGTCTCCTTTTTCGTATATGGGGTTTACGTTGGCGTATTTCCAGGCACTGGGTAAAGGACCTGTATTGAGTGATGTTTGGAATATTCTACGAGATTCGATGTATTGTAGACATGCATTGCGGGTTTGTTTTTGCACTTCAGCGTTAACTGTTTTGTATATATGGATAAGTTTGTGGTTTGTCCTTGACTTATGCTGGAGGCGTTAAGACTTGTTTGAGAGGCGGCGAAGTGAGTTGTTCATCCAGGGTAGTCTTTGTTTGTATGAATGGGAATGGGTTTTTTCTCGTAGATGTATGGAGTGTTGTTTTGAAGCTTACCCAAAGGTCTTCTGCGTTTTCATGTTCTAGGTCCTGAAAGTTGTTATTTAGATTAATCAGGTATTTTCTGATGTTGTCCCAGTTTGCTTTGTTATATAGGTTAATGCTCTTAGGTGATTTGCGTGTTTTTTGTAGTCTAATGTCTGATTCTGTTTATATGATGTCATGATCTGCCTTGCCTATAGGTGGGACTATTTCTTGTTTATTGATGATGGATGTTCGATTTGTGAGTGTTAGGTCAAGGATGTGTTCTCCTCTTGTGGGTTTGTCTATGGTTTGGGTGAGGGAGTTGTCGTCGATGATGTCTTGTAGGCGTTGATGTAGTGATGTGTCTGGTTTGCCTGGTGCTGTGGTGTTGTTTGACCAATTTATGTGTTGGAGGTTGAAGTCTCCGCTAATAAATGTAATTGCGTTGTTCTGTTTTCCTATTCTGTTCAGGGATGTTTCGAGTTCTGTGAGTGAATGTCCTTTGTCTGATGGTGGTCTGTAGTATGCACATGCTATGAAGTTGTGTGAATTTGACATTTTGATGTTGGCCCAAATGGATTCGTTATCTGTTTCTAATTCTGGGAGTTGTTGTGAGATGTATTTGTTTATGATAGCGAGTAGTGCTCCACCTTGGCTTTGTCCTTTTGCGTTTGGTGTGCGGTCTTTTCTATATACTGTGTACTGTGTTATTGGAAAGTATTCGTATGATGAAGTTGTGCTATTTAGCCATGTCAATGTGCCAATGATGATGTCTGTTTTGACTGTGTAGAGTATTTCGTCTAGGTCTGGTTTTTGTTTGATATGGATTGGAAGATAATTGTTGATCTGAAAGAAATCCCTGATGTGTATTCAACAGAAACAATCTCAATTGCTTGCGTACTGTGCACTGTTAAATTTACTGTTTTTGTTTAATTTCCATCAAACAAATGACCTCTGTCGTAACTGAACTTATGAAACTTTCCTTTAGCCATGACATCAGATGTGCCACAGACGACGCCGACGGCAACGTTTTGCTAAGTTCTGAGGTACTGGCAGCAAAACAAAAATCTGTTATAACACAACACATAACTCAAATGTCTCAATAAATAGATAATTTATTGATTCAAAACCACCGTGTTTATCACCCGACAGCTGCTACATTCCGTCATTAGAGTCGTCGTTCAAAATGTCTCACCTGGGCGACGCCATTTTGTTGTTTATTGGAGTGACTAATCAACAAACCGTGATAATCCGGATAAAAACGGAGCAGTATATACTATTTAGAAGAATTTCGGACCATTGCAAAAATGGCCGCCGCAAATTTGATAAGCAGACTCCAGGTCATCTGAGCGTTTGTACTGAGTGATAAAACAAAAATGGAATAAGCATGTTCATGATAATGACTTTTTTTAAATGGACGCCGCGAAGGATTTGACGAACAGACGTCCGGACCAAATATGGATTTCCTCTAAAATTAAAAAGTTCACATAGGACTCATGTGGATTTTTAACTATTACAGTTGTTCTACATCAAAAACAGTTGGAATTTTGAAGATATCTCGTTTGTTATTTTTTTTTTATTAATGTTATATATATGATGTTTTATCAAAACAATGTGACGGTTGCCATATTAGTTTTATGAGTGTCTCGGACATGCATTTCAAACTTCATTGATTTATACCTTTCCTTTCTGCATTTTTCAATACGATCATGACTGTGCTATATGAAATTGCAGAAAAAGGAATTTTGGAGCACTTTATTTTGCTTCCAGATTCACAATTGATTCACTTTTTATTGAGAAAGTGTTTATGTCATTCCGTCCTTTTAAGGATTTGCTCGGTTCCTGTCCTAACTTCTCACTATGGTTTACATCTATTTGATTTCTATCGTATTTACCGACTTGCTGTCTATATGCTTTGTTAACGTTGTCAAACATAGTTATGGTCTTTGTGTCAATTTCAGGCCTGTCATCTATACTTTGTAATGGATTTGTGATCATAGTACTGCTGAAAGGTAAACCAAAATATAACGTGATGCACAACATCCTCCTGCTAAACATGGCTATCACTGACCTTCTGATCTCAGTCATCGCTTACCCTTTGTCCGCCTCCTCCAGTCTTAACGGCAGGTAACTACCTTTTACCATCTGATATACACGTAATGCTATGCTTAAACCTTGCTGCCGCTGCCTGACATAATGCTGAGAAGCACGCTATGTCTCTCTAGCTATATTTCCGTAAGGATTTTGATACCGAACTTGAAACGTCCAGGTATTTACAGCCTGGTTAGCTTTAACCACAAATTTTCAAAATGCGGTTCGTTGGATGTAAATAGAAATTAACAAATATAATTGTTTCTGTTTACTTAAAATTTCGCTCCTCCTCGATCCCTCTTCAAATGACTTATTCAAATGGTTATCTTTTACAATATTTGTTTACTGCAATTATTTTTGATTGTTATACGTCACAATAAGTTGCTATAAAGCTATAACAATGCTTTGGACGATTGAGACCATTTCATGACGTACAAATGTCAACAGAAAATACGTTTTACTTTTTATGAACACTTTGGTATTGTCGTGTGGGTTTTTTTAGCAAAAAAAACCATGCATTACTGTAAAAACCTGGATGATTTGTGACGTACATTTCTATACAATTAAAAAAACTGGATGATTTGTGACGTACATTTCTATACAATTAAAACAAAGTTTGAAACACTCTCGTACACTGTCTGATTATAGATTTGACCTAACACTAAACATCTGTTGTGTCTTTTCAGCTGGGTTTACTCTGATGAAACCTGTGTTTTCTACGGATTCTGGGTATTCTGCCTCGCTATGGGGAACATGAACACACTTGCAGTCATCGCCATTTGCCGTTACATTGTTGCTGTCAGACCAGAATACAGTCAGACGAATTCTTTAATTTACAGTTTATTTTCGTATGAGGCAATTCATTTTAATTAACGCCTTTTGTTACTATTTGACAGCTTTTTAACAGTAGTCATGGTTATTGTATCATCTTGGAAGCTTTTTAAATGCACTTTTTTCGAGTCAAACTGTATAATATCTATCAATGGTAACTGCAATTTGAAATCACTATATTCTTAAGGATCTGTAGTTGTCTGGTATACGAAGGTTTCATGATATTTATGCTTACCTCTTACATGAATTTATGGAAATACGTTACAATTCATTAAAACATCTGCAAGTTGTCTTTTCAAATGGTAGAACATACTCGTAATGGTAATTGTAGTATTACAGATTCACTTTCTCTATAATTTGATACCTACAGTTCCACCCATAATATTAGAAAGTCTTAAAATAAACACCCACCAGAGTTCTTTAAGTCAATTTATTTCAGATTTACAAAATTCATAATCCTGATCTGAGATATAAACAAAGATCTAATATGATTAGTCCTTTCTGAATTACTAGAGTTATCTTTTCCTATAATGTGGAAATTGCCAAAGCTCGTTTTGTATTAATTCACAGCAAGGGTCTCAACGAATCTGTACGGTATTTTTGTTGGAGTAACTTTGAGCTGTAAAACACGGCAAGTTTCCAAGAAAATTAAATAAGATATCTATTGAAGTCTATTACCCAGAAATATTTTAATAAGTATTACAATAATTTTGTTTATATGCCTTAATTAAAAAATTGTGAAGCTTCTTTCAAATAGATTTGTTTGCTTTGATCAAAAAGAGGAAAGCAGACTACACTGAGAAAAAAAATAAAAACAGCATTTTATAATGAAACAGGGTGTGAAGTTGCAGTTATTTGATATTAAGGATAACTCCATTTTGACACTCTATTTAATATAGTTTAGATAATTTGCTGTATCTACGTCGCTACGCTATTACTGATACTTTAATGTATAAAGCAGTCATATATGTATACACTTAGTTTTAGTAAAAACCTGTAAAATATCTTAGTATTATAAAACATAATATCTAAAACTACATAGTATCAAAGCTATCATCCTCGACACTCCAGGGGGTAACACTCTCTTTCGCTCTCTGCACTCCTGAAATATGTCATAGTAATCGAAGGCTCAATGTGCACCACCTTGTTGATGATCGAGAAGACTAGTTTGATCCTTTGGTGTGTATCGTAAGGATCCCTCGGTCGGGTAACGGTACAATTGACTATCTTTTGAAGTCGGGTGTCGCTCCTCTTCAATTTTCAAAGGACAGGTATCAGCCTAGCGATTGGTCAAGGGACCATTCAAATAGCTAGCTGCGTGCCTTCAAATTTGCTATGACATATTGAAGAGGTACATACATCGAGTATGTATAGCTTTAATAATGTACTCAGATAAATAGATTGTAATGCAAATAAAAAAAATAAAAAATACAAATAACTAGTTTATCATTGTATCTCTTTCTGTTATTGCGTTTGTATCTTTTATGTTTCAGATTATCTTTTAACGAAGAAAAATGCAAAATACTTCTTGTTGGTGATATGGACGTATGCAATATTATGGACTGGCCCACCTTTAGTAGGTTGGAGCACGTATACTTTCGAGGCATACCGAACGTCATGCACCATCAATTGGGGAGGCCGATCTCTCTCGGACAAGACCTACAACGTTACTATTACATTCACGTGTTATTTGTGTCACCTCATCATATGTTGTTTCTGTTATTATCACGTGCTAAAAAAGTATGTTACGGCAAATAATTCAAACATTGGGATAACTTTACGATCTTCCAGTGTCAAGCAACAGAATACCGAGGAATCTTTCAACGTGGAGGCTGTAGTTTCGTACCACAAAGTAACCACGTCACGAAAAGTCACCACGGTATTTGGCTATACTAACTATTAAATACAGAATTATTCCGGTATGATTATGTTTTATTAGCCCTTTAGCATATTTGGAATGAGAAAGTACACAAAACAAGAATTCGTGAAAGAAAACAAATAGAAAAGGAAAAACAAAATAGAAACGAAACACAGGCAGCCATTTTTAAGTTACCAAATATAAGTACTCCAGAAAAGAAATCAATTTGGGTTTTTTTTGTTTATTTTTTGTGTCGTGTTTTATTTATTTATTTATCCTTTTTTTGTAACGGATGGCTGTTTTTTTCATCATGACTATTATAAGTCATTTTTATTGCTTGTGTGGTTTTATCATGACTATCATAAATCATTTTTATTGCTTTTGTGGGTTGTTTTTGTTTTCGTTTTATAATAATTTCATTAAAGGAAATATTATAAATTATTTTTGAATTGATTTTAAGTCAAGTTTCCCCTTAGATCCAATGATATGATCAATCGATTTTCAGACCTATTTTATCCCTTGTACTTCAGATCTTGTGACCATAGTCTTATCCTTCCTCTGTTTCTTCCCCGTAGATGTGCATCGCCATGTTATTTTCCTATCTGTTCGCCTGGACACCGTACACGGTCCTAAGCATATGGGTTATGTTTGTCGGAGACGTGGAGCCGTGGGTGCACGTCATACCGACAATGATGGCTAAAACCTCAACCTTATCAAACTCAATCGTATATGGTATACTGAGCAGCAAATTCAGGGAATCAGCCAAAGCCATGTTCAAACGAAACCGGAACCGCGTAGCGCCTGCAAGCATAACAACCCACAGAAACCAAACTGACTCGGTCGCCACTTCTAGTCGAAGTCAGATCCATCCAACAGCAGTGACGGATCACCCCAGACCATGGGACAAGTGAGTAGTTAATACGACGACAAATTATCTTCAAATTTGACACAGTATATCAGTTTAACATGGCGTCTTTCCACAGTGATGGAAATTGAAGATATGAAAAGCAAATAGTTGACTTTGTGATTTCAATAATTGAAACACTCAAAGCGATTTAATCAATAGCTAAGATTATAAGTCAGTAAAAATTATTATTTTATATATATCTTTTTACTGATAACACCCATCAGATTGATAGAATAACGATTATCGTTTTCTCAGTCGCTATTGATGTTTCGTATTTAACACCGTTTTCAAGTTTTGTCCTTGATTTGCCGATTTTGTTGCATTTCTATGTATTCAGTAGGTATGGCATTATGACGTCTGAATGCATTTTTTTTGTAGACCAAATGCGTGTAACGCCCGTGCATTGCATATTGCATGGGAGGATTCACATTTCCATTATATAGGTCCTATTGGCCCCTAGATAAATTGTATTATAGTTTAATAGTGCATCACATGATAAGAATGGTAATGTAAAACAAACATACCACAGCATCAACACACCATGATAAAATCGGAAAGCAATACGAAAAGTTATTTAACTAACAAATTAACATCAAAACATCAAAACAAAACAAAAGAAATCTTAAACTCCAAAAAACAAGCTGATGCATAGTGATACCTGTCTATAACGTTCTTGCACCCAATGTCACATGTAACGCAGGTAATGAAAAGCGCGTTGGTAACTACTATTGAAGAAATAATTACCAAGTCTTTGTTTAAGCATGCACTGAAATTTCATAATTGGTAATCAGATTGTCATGACTACCCTTGAAATATCTTCATATAAAAGCCTTCCCAATAGAAAGCATTTTCTATGTAATATTTTCGTCAATAGGTTCCATTTACTTAAAAACATCTCGATACAACAAAATCATTGCACAGCATATAGAACTCGACCTTTTGTTTGGTTTTTAAGTCACTTTAAAGTATTCTTTTCTCAGTTTGATACTCTGTCTTTTTCAATTTCAAGATCATTGTAAAATTGAAATTGTCATTGAATAACTCCCGAGTTCGACCTTGGACGACTTTTTCAATAATATCATAAAATAGTGACAGTAGCAGTATTTTATTTTGACGTGATGATTTCATTACAATAAATTGCCGATATTAATCAAGGGGTTCTTAGTGATGAAAAATGTGTCTTTTCTTATAGGCACCCAAAAGGACGATGTCATACCTACAACGTTCATCTTATCAAAAATGACGTATACATTGGGAAGAATTCAGTCACCCTTCCTCATGAAGAACAGCCATTTTGACCTTACTCTGGATTAATTGATCTGTCATCTCTTTGAGAACGTATCATAGTTCTACTTGAGAGAACAACTTAGCTTATATAACATTAGGAATGTATCTCCCTTTCTACTTGAGAAATAAAGAGTTATTTTGGGAATTAAGGTGTTAAGGCCTAACGTTTGGAAGATGTTTCCATTCCAGATGCAAAAACAATTAAATTAACCTGACATTGAAAAGGTGTTGCCGTTAAACAATATTTTAGGGAAAGAATAAAATGTAATTAAAGTTAATGCCAAGCATTGAGAATGTGTTGTGACTCTTAACGAAAAACAATAATAGTTAATACATGACAATGGGATGGTGTTTTCATTCTACACGGAAAATAAATGATGTTACCTAATGTTGAGATGGTGTTTTCGTTCATCAGAAGAACATTAATGTGACTAAATATTAGGTTGTTGCTTTCGTTATTCAGGAAAAACGATCAATGTGACCTAGCATTGGGATGGTGTTTTCGTTCTTCAGGAAAAACAATCAATGTGACCTAGCATTGGGATGGTGTTTTCATTCTTCAGGAAAAACGATTAATGTGACCTAATATAACATTAAGTTGTCGTTTTCGTTCTTCAGGATAAACGATTAATGTGACCTAATATTAGGTTGTTGTTTTCGTTCTTCAGGAAAAACAATCAATGTGACCTAGCATTGGGATGGGGGTTTTATTTTTCAGGAAAAACGATCAATGTGACCTAACATTAGGTTGTTGTTTTCGTTCTTCAGGAAAAACAATCAATGTGATCTAGCATTGGGATGGTGTTTTCATTTTTCAGGAAAAACGATCAATGTGACCTAGCATTGGGATTGTATTTTCATTCTTTAGGAAAAACGATCAATGGGACCTAGCATTGGGATTGTATTTTCATTCTTCAGGAAAAACGGTCAATGTGACCTAGCATTGGGATTGTATTTTCATTCTTCAGGAAAAACGATGAATATGACCTAACATTAGGTTGTTGTTTTCGTTCTTCAGGAAAAACAATGAATGTGACCTAGCATTGGGATGGTGTTTTCATTCTTCAGGAAAAACGATTAGTGTGACCTATTATAACATTAAGTTGTTGTTTTCATTCTTCGGGAAAAACGATTAATGTGACCTATTATAACATTAAGTTGTTGTTTTCATTCTCCAGGAAAAATGATTAATGTGACCTATTATAACATTAAGTTGTTGTTTTCGTTCTTCAGGATAAACGATTAATGTGACCTAATATTAGGTTGCTGTTTTCGTTCTTCAGAAAAAACGATCAATGTGACGTAACATTAGGTTGTTGTTTTCATTCTTCAGGAAAAAACGATTAATGTGACCTATTATAACATTAAATTGTTGTTTTCGTTCTTCAGAAAAAACAATCAATGTGACCCAGCATTGGGATGGTGTTTTCATTCCTCAGGAAAAACGATGAATGTGACCTATTATAACATTAAGTTGTTGTTTTCATTCTTCATGAAAAAACAATCAATGTGACCTAGCATTGGGATGGTGTTTTCATTCTTCAGGAAAAACGATCAATGTGACCTAGCATTGGGATGGTGTTTTCATTCTTCGGGAAAAACGATTAATGTGACCTATTATAACATTAAGTTGTTGTTTTCATTCTCCAGGAAAAATTATTAATGTGACCTATTATAACATTAAGTTGTTGTTTTCGTTCTTCATGAAAAAACAATCAATGTGACCTAGCATTGGGATGGTGTTTTAATTCTTCAGGAAAAACGATCAATGTGACCTAGCATTGGGATGGTGTTTTCATTCTTCAGGAAAAACGATGAATGTGACCTAACATTAGGTTGTTGTTTTCATTCTTCAGGAAAAACGATTATTGTGACCTATCATTTTATTAAGTTGTTGTTTTCGTTCTTCAGGATAAACGATTAATGTGACCTGATATTAGGTTGTTGTTTTCGTTCTTCAGAAAAAACAATCAATGTGACCTTACATTAGGTTGTTGTTTTCATTTTTCAGGAAAAACGATTAATGTGACCTAGCATTGGGATGGTGTTTTCGTTCTTCAGGAAAAACGATCAATGTGACCTAGCATTGGGATGGTGTTTTCGTTCTTCAGGAAACACAATCAATGTGACCTAGCATTAGGTAGTTGATTTCGTTCTTCAGGAAAAACAATTAATATGACATAATATCGGGATGTTAGTTTCGTTCCTAAGGAAAAAAACAATTATATGAGCTAACATTTGGTAGATATATCTGTTCTGCAGGAAAAACATCATTGTGACCATTCATTGGTAATGTGTTACCGTTATTCAGGAAAAACAATGTTTCTTACCTAACTTACAACCACGTTACATATATATAAAAGAAACATTAGATATAACATTGGACAACGAAATGGTCACCTTACTACAAGAAGAACAACATATAGCATTACATAAGCAGATTGTACCTTTCCTAGAGGAAAAATAATAAATATTACAGACCATTAGCAATGAGTCCCTTCTTACAATCTAGTTGTTTAACTATATCTATCAGAAAAACGAACCAGCTCATTTTCCTTTGCTACTTAGCACAATGTATAAATATATGCGAAAATAGGAAGATGGCAGCCGGAAATCACCGCTTAGTTTTTATTGTCACTACGGTTATTGGTTTCTGTACTAGTTATATATATCTATGATAGTACATAGTGGACTGAAAAAGTATATATTTAACAGAATGTATACTTAAAAGCATCCACATGTATCAAGTCACTCGATATGTGAGGCGAGGTAACTATGTAATGTTTACTTCATTCCTAATACAGATTTATACATACAATAAATCTTATACATTTACCAATCTAGATCTAGACTGGTGAATCGTTGTAAACAGTCTCCTTATGGTCATGAACGCTCAACTGTGGTGACAAAAAGATAAAAGCTCTGAAATGTGCGCTTTATTTATGTACTTTATATAGTTTGTAGTATGGGAACACAGTACTGCATCAATTGTTCTCGTTTGTTTATATATTTCGCTTTAAACATATCCGAAGTTAAAAATAAAAAGGATATAAGATTAAAATCCAATTTCGGCTTTTCGAGTAAGTTGAGATTATTTTTGTATAAAGTTTACGTACGATTCTAAATCACGTATTTCTTTAGAGAAACCCCATCTAATTTGAGAAAACAGACTAGGCTAGATCAATAAAGAAATAAACTAAAAAATACAGAATATATTTCATTGGTACATAATATACAACAGCGAGGATACCCTTCAGTGACACACAGATTAGACAGCTGATATGTATTACAGAATATATCTCATTGGTACATGATATAAACAGCGAGGATACCCTTCAGTGACACACAGAGTAGACAGCTGATCTGTATTACAGAAAATAGCTCATTGGTACATAATATAAAACATTGAGGATACCCTTCATTGACACACAGATTAGACAGCTGATCTGTATTACAGGATATATCTCATTGGTACATAATATAAAACAGTGAGGATACCCTTCAGTGATACACAGATTAGACAGCTGATCTGTATTACAGAATATATATCATTGGTACATAATATAAAACAGTGAGGATACCCTTCAGTGACACACAGAATAGACAGCTGATCTGTATTACAGAATATGTATCATTGGTATATAATATAAACAGCGAGGATACCCTTCAGTGACACACAGATTAGACAGCTGATCTGTATTACAGAATATATCTCATTGGTACATAATATAAAACAGCGAGGATACCCTTCAGTGACACACAGAGTAGACAGCTGATCTCTATTACAGAATATATCTCATTGGTACATAATATAAAACAGTGAGGATACCCTTCAGTGACACACAGACTAGACAGCTGATCTGTATTACAGAATATATCTTATTGGTACATAATATAAAACAGTGAGGATACCCTTCAGTGACACACAGATTAGACAGCTGATCTGTATTACAGAATATATCTCATTGGTACATAATATAAAACAGTGAGGATACTCTTCAGTGACACAGAGCAGACAGCTGGTCTGTATTACAGAATATATCTCATTGGTACATAATATAAAACAGTGAGGATAGTAGTATGGTGATTTCGGTTGATACATGGTTTTATCGACCTAGGTTAGCAATATTGACCTCGGACTGCGTGTTCGGTCAATATTGCTTACCTAGGTTGATGAAACCATGTATGGACCTCATCACCATGCTATTATTGTATAATCTATCACATTGGTACATAATATAAACAACGAGGATACCCTTCAGTGACACACAGATTAGACAGCTGATCTGTATTACAGAATATATATCACTGGTACATAATATAAAACAATGACACATAGTTTAGAAGTTAATCTGTAAATCACGACAATTTTTAATAACACATATGTATTATGACGTGTCAATCCGCAACACGTGAATGTTAGACATTGAAACCTACAGAAATAATAACCAGTAAAACACTTTGTAAAGGTACACATAGATAAATATTAAACATTTTTATCTAAAAAGATATTACTTCTTCAAAACTTTAAACAGAAAATATCATGTTACATCCTGACATAAATTAATATCGTCAATAAATTGCAACATATGAAGAGTTTAAAATGTGGTATAGACCTATTCAGGAAGAAAACAGTGGCTTAAAGGTAAATCCTCATACACCTCTACAGTATTCATGATCTCGTTCCTACCACGTCCGAGAAAAATATTGATCATGCAAGGTCGAAGATACGTTGCCCACGTTTGTAATCATCAAAGATACTGAATTTTAAGAGTGGAAAATCAACTCATGACGAATACTGTACACTTTTCTCAGTGTATATTAAAGATTTTTTGATAGATGAAACTGAATACATAATTTATACCTGGAATTTTCGCCGCAATTCAGTTTTTCCTCTTTTCGCTTCCGTAACGAGGGCGAATTTATCAGTACAGATAAAATAAAGGTAGATAACAGAATAAAACTAGCAAATTTATTTGAAGGGCAAAATTGGAAATGTTCAGCTACACAAAAAATATTACAGTTAATCATTGGTACCTACGAAAATAGTAAGACACTGGGCAAAACTGAGTTTAAGGAAGAAGGGCGAAAGCTCGTGTAAAGAATGATCATGGTCTCGTAATTTTTGGTTAAGCGATTTGGTGCTGGAGGATGTGAGTGTTATTATAGATTTGTGTATTATTGTGAGCGTCATCAATTAATGACGTCTTAAATTTGAGTACTGTTAAGTTTGACGTCATAATAGCATCAGTTGCCAGATGAACCCATAAATAGACGAAAGCGCTATAAACATTGTGTTTTAGTTTGTTTATTTATTTTCATTGCATCCATCACACGGACATACATCAATAAATAAATATACAGTACATAAAACATACAAATATATATGTATATAGTACATTCATGAATATTGTTTACATTACAATTGTAGTGGTAAAGGATACCGTTTTTCACAGCGATCATTTGTTTGCAGCCTAGCCAACATGTCCTTTATCACTGAGATAATGCCTTGTACATAAGCCCTGTCCATGAATGTACATTGTTCTTACTCCCTGCTGGAATGTTTACAAACGTCATCATCTGGAACTCCTCCTCGGTGTCGTTGCTAATTTCTCGTCAGTGTCGTCACAACATGTGTTAGAAAGACTGAATGTACTACAGGTCTAGAGGAGAGGGTCGATTGTTCGCACGTCATATACCTAAAGGTAAGCAAACTGTACTTTGGTGTCACTTTTCAAAGTTTTTCGATTTTTAGAAAGTTTCAGACAGCTTACATAATAAATATCTAAAGCTTCCCTGTTTATTTCAGTGTTTCTTTACATTTATGTACAGTTGCTTACAACTATGTATGCATTATCAATACATAGTAATATTCCGGCAGTTAAACAAGACCCCTCTATATCTCACTCTCTATCCTTTCTTTTCTTATTGAGTTTTTACCTTCAACCAATAATATCTACAAATCGCCATTTCAATCATTTCTGTCAATGAAGTCCAGTTTGATTACATGTAAAATGTTTCTTTATCAAAACTCTTTACTCGTTCGATATAACATTAATTAGTGGGACCCTTAACTGGAAGACAGTGCGTGACAATTTATAGAACCATTGCTCAATATTTGTTCCATTTTGTGGTGGGGTTTTTTGTATCTTTGTCAGACTTTGCCACCGTGTGTTAATACTATGGTTGACATTTCTAGCAGTTGTCTTTGACACTGTGATGCATTGTTTGGAATCTCATCTAACTTTTCTCTGTTAACATTATGCCTGCTCGGTTGCTATTGTTATATTGTATAACACTGTTATATATTTGTATTACTTTCCCACTTGACATCTGACCAATAAACACAAACTTATCAAGGGCCCCGCATATTGTGCAAGGGTCCAGCCACACAGGATCTAGCGACACCAAAGTAATACTAACACACCAATATGCGAATAATGTACAAATTATTGAGTTTGTGGCGTAATTGTACTGTTAACTTTTTCGCTTGAAATAAAAGAAATTCAAAGTAGGAAATATAAACAACACCACACATTTATTTCATCGATTGACGTCGTGCACACAATGATACTGTACTGTTTGGGTCGTGAAAATGGTCCGGATGTATCATTATAGTACAGTGATATCATCATAAATACGGTATGATCATGAGTCCAGGTCTATAATACCGTAATATCGACAAAAAATGTATTTTACAACACCAAATGCATTTGTGCCCCCTCACAAAGTTGGTATTGCCGTGCATGCGATGTTGTTATGAGGATACTACGATACAATATACAAGATACAAGAAACTTTATTTAACGTCGCATATATCAAATAGAGAAACATGAGCGCTGAAGCGCTATTTTGGCGACAAACATGATAAAAAGCAAACAGAAAGTCAAGTTATACACTATCACAGAAAGCTACCACATAATCAGCGAGTAAAACATACAATAACATAGCAGCATATAAATACATCACAGGCACTAAAGTTAAAGTACTATACTAAAAAGATGTAAAGAGATAATAGTGAAACACCTGCATATCACACAGGTGTTGTTATATATTGGAGAGTTAAAACACTTCAAGTGTAATGTACATACATGTTAATATAGCAAAAGAGTAAAAATTGACATAATATACACTAATACAGTGTAAATTAAAATAGGACAAGGTCTAGTAAGTAAAATATATTGAGCTATAATGATGATTAGAAGAGAGGGCTAGAAACTATGCTGCCAGTTATTGGTATATTCAAGCGCCATGCAAAGCAGAAGTTAAGCTAAATAGGTAGGTAAATAAATAATAGATACATAAAGCAGGTAACTAGTAATAAAGACTAAAACACTGAAAAAAACATTAAAAACTCTAGACACAGGTACAGATACGACATGAGCAAACGGGGCCATCCCAGGAGTGCAGCAGTCTGGCAAACTCTGGATAACTATCCACCTTCCTCAAATGGTTTGGCAGACTGTTCCACACCCGGGCGGCCTCGTAGCGAAAAGACTTCAGTCCATATCTGGTTGTTCTTACTTTTGGTAACTCCAGCTGCCTTTCATTCCTGAGTTTATAAAAAGACGATTTCAAGGTTTAAAGATTACATAAATAATCCGGAGCTACATTGGTAATAATTTTTAAAACTTCACAAGCCATGGTTATCATTCTGTTTAGATGAAGAAAAGATAAATTTGCTTTTTCTAAAAGTTCCAAAGCTGGCGTTGTGTAGTCATCCTCAATAAAACGAATGGCTCTTTCTTGTATCTTCTCCATCTTCCTTGTGGAATTTAAACTACAGAAACGCCATGCCAGGGGACAGTAATTAAAATTTGAAAGAATAAAAGATTTAAAAATCAAAATTTTCCCCTGCTTGCTTAGATTGCAGCCAATCCGTTTTATTACACATAACTGTTTGGATGTGTAAAATCACTATGAACACCTTGGGTTTAGGTCCAAATACAGCTGTTACAAATTAGCAGGTCCCTATTGGACGTTGACAAGCTTAAATTGGCTAACTTTTATCAGTTAATGATGACCAGGTTGACCAGACAGGACAGATATCGGCTGTATCACCGTCTGACCGCGCACTGTTGTCTGTGATTATAAAATGTACTATCTGCAGACGATGACCAGACTGACCAGATAGGGAAGTTATCACCTTATCACTGTCTGACCGCGACAGGTGGTGTATACGTTCTATCGTTTAATAATTGCAAAATCATTTCTATGACGATGACTTTAAAATAGGTGTTTCCTTACTTCTTCGTTTTTCTAGTGGTCATTTCCAGACAATCTCGTCCCATGGGGTTGGTTGCCTCTGCTGGTGGATAATAATTCTTCAATGTTTACAGTAACCGTGTTACTGAAATTTATTCTGGCGCTAATTACATGATATACTTGTTCAAGAGTGTAGCTGCCTTCCGGTTTTGGTGTATTGTAACGGGGTGTTCTCCGAGTGGCAACATTTTATCAACAATAGGCAGGTGTTGTTTAATGAACCAATGGCAAGTCAGTTATATTCACCAAGATATTCACCTGGGATTTACCTGCGTTTCTTTGCTTCGATATATTTGGTCAAATTGAAAAAAACATCTTCTAAACACTAAAAAGTGCCTCCTTATTTTTTTTTGAAAAAAGAAAGTAAATTACATAATAAATAAAACGTTTGAAATAACAGTGCACCAGTGTTCGATTTTGACTAGCTCGGATGCAACATGCTTCGGAACACTTGAGCACGACCTCTACCCAGAGTTGTCGTTCCTTGAGCGTTAAGGGGCAACAACTCTCGGTAGAGATGGCCTTTCGACATTGAATGGGATGAATGGACGAAACGGCAATATGGCGCTGGAAAAAAATCTTACTTTGATTGAATATCTACATCGACTGACTAACAGACATTAGAACCTATGAGTTAAATGTGTTAAATAAGTTAACACTTAAATAGGGTTCTAACACCAAGTGTCACCTAAGTATTTTTGTAGATGAACGGATTTTATGATCATGCATATTTTCCCAATTAAAACTTCAGTGTATTCACAATCATCTAACAACTCGCAACTTCCTACTTTCCTACTCGCAACTCGCAACTTGCTACAATCCTACTCGCAACTCGCATTCTCTACTCGATAGTCGCAAGTTACGAAAAGTGACACTCCTCAGCGACAGTAACGAGTACTCGAACAATGAGCGAGTCCCACTAGTACTGTCACAGTAGGTCGACACAATAATTCAGACAACAGCATCTTTTAAATCATCATCTGGTTTCTAAGGAATCTCCACATTTCTTGGATGCACTTTCAATTTCCATGAAGCTATCTAGTTGACATTCCAACCGCCTCGTGGCCTGATGTGCTTAATTATTAAAGCTTAGTCGCAGCACAATCGTTGTTTATCGTTCAGCTACCTTCGCGAACACGGAATAAATTCTGACCTTTTTGTACCTTAAACATATTACAGAGAATGTTTGTGTCGAATGAAGATCTGTTGTCAATTTTAAAGATAAGTTATGCTTGTTAAATGGGTTGGTATGTTAATTAAATTATCAAAAATATGCAAAGTGGAACTATTTGTTTATTTCTCAACTGGGTGTTTCGTCATCATTGACAACGCAACATCTTTCCAGCGAAAAAGACAGTTCAATTAATGTTGTTTCCAGGACGATGTATTGCCTTTTTACGTAAAAAATGATTTTAAATAATAAAAGTGAATGTAATAGGACGTAATTATATATATAAATATAAGGTTTCAAACCCTAAATAAACGTTTTTTGTGTAATATGACTGCGGTTCGATGAGACGATATCAACTTCTCCGACAGAAAGAGTGATCAATATACAACACCACTTTTTTGTCTTCGCCGAGAATATATGACGTCATAGTATTGTTCATGTTAACGTCAAAAATAGTAAAACTAAACATGTGTCATATCGAAAATATATGTTATGGCACCATAACGTCTGAGTTCATGGGCACGGTCGATTTGCTGAGAAATGTTGGTTTTGAAAATATTCTGCTGGAAACGATAGGAGGTGAGAGTTAAACAAAATAAACAAATGTGTGGTTTGTTGTGATTAAAAAGTAAATATAGATGAACTTGTGGCGGTAGAAATAGATCAGAAACTACAAATATGCACGGATTGAACAGTAACAATGCTGTAATCACAGTGAAGGACTGTATGTTATCACACAGATAAAGGTCTGCCAGAAAGTCATTAACATCGACCCTGTCAGATGTGAGGTTATAGGTCATGGGCCGCTTATGACATAGATATGTATATGTAAACACTGATGTCGGATCGGTGACCGAGCAAAGTCCATGATCGAGAATTACGTGCAATTTAGTTGAAGTTAGTTTTCATCGAACAGCATGAATAACAGTTTAGTCGGACGGGCACGCTTTGACATTTCTCAATTGAATTTATTTCGGAATCGATATTAAGGTCGAGGTATGTGACTATTCCTCTTATTAAGTTATTAATATAGACTTTTAAAAGATAAAAGAACAAATCAAGATTCATCTTGCTAATCTTTAAACTACTTATCAACCTACATGTACACTGTGACGTGTACTGTTGACATTATGACCTGTATTCCAGTATCCATCGTAATAAGAAATTGTTTACAGTGCATACGGTGATTACATACAAAGATTTCATAGATTTTTTACTGAGGATATCAACGGGGAACAGGAACTGTTTTAACTTCCGGTGCATTTGGTTTCTCTTTTGGTGATTTGTTATGTTTAAGAAGCTTTTAGTTTATTTGGAAATTTCTTCGATTCCTTTTGTTACCTTTATATCGTCGACTTTAAAATCTGACTTTGTAAAGGATTGCGCAATTTAAATAAATAAAAAAAAAATCCTCAGTTCCTGATGTATTCTATATTAAGTTTTTGTGTTGACTATGTGTCATTTTTTACTCGTTTATTAATTACTATAGAGTTTGATTAGACCTTATTTTGTTATTTATTTATTTTTTATATTTGTTATTATTTCTACCGATATATGTGGTTAATGTTCAATTGTACTATAGATATTTGTCGAAATTGTAAAATTATTCTTATCCATATTTGAAAACGCTGTGTAGTTATTTCTAACAATATGTGTAGTATATGTACAGATGTCACTACCAAGTTTTGATAATATTTTATTATTGTTGCCGGCGATATTTGCAATTTATGTACAATTGTTACTATCGAATATTTGAAATAGATTTACCATTAGTACTACCTATACTTGTAGTGATTTCGTAAAATTGTTACCAGTTACCATCAATTTTTTCTATTCCCTCCCCCCCNAATATGTACAATTGTTACTATCTGTATCTGTAATGAAATTGTTACTACTGCCTGTGTGATAAATGTACTATTGTTTCTTCACGAGCTTGTATATTATCATCTGTTGTATGGTTATCTTTGTTATTTTATTTACAGAGAATTGATACTAAGACAGACTAGAGAAGATTAAATGGAGTTGAAAGTGTTCGTATTCTCTGCTGTAATAGTACTGTACAAAGGTAAGATTATGTAGACGCAAGTAGCAGGACAATTCACACCTTAAGCAAATGTTATCAACAGGATATTCTACTTTAACAGTGTTGTCAACTTTAGACTTAGGGCAGCAGCTGTTTCCTGCTATAGACGATCAATAATTTTGCCCCAGATTTGCATTTTCTTTATACGTGTGACTCCATTTCAACGACTGTTGTTGGGTTAGGTTAGGCCTTTTCCAATAACTTCAGAGGGGAATGTTAGACAAGAAAAAAGGCTTGGCTAACACGTTATATGAATCGGGAGATAGTTGAGAACAATAGGCAGTTATTGCTGGTCTTGCTGCTCATTGCCCGAATAAGTTAGATTCCAGAATACCCAATTATGAGCTATTTGTACCCTGACAAAAAAAGAAGATAACAGTTCAACTTCAATTGACACATACTTGCCTTCTGAACTATTTACCGTATTTATTTACATAATGTAACAATAACAAAAACATCGTTGGTTACTTAATCAACAGCAATTGCAAACATAAACATATGAGATACTGTCAGAGCTAGCCTGTTCGTGACGTCACAATGCATTAAGGTCAAACTCACCTTATTTTTGTAAATTGCAGAAATGTTTGCTCTCATATATTATGTTAACCAGAAATAAAGATCCCACATCAGACGCCAGAAAAATTAATTTGCAACAGAAAAAACCCACTGACATTCACACGAGTGTGTCTACTCGTATCGACTTTGAATTAGTTCATGTTTTTTAGATATCAACATGACATCTTATCACCATTCGTGCTTAACTTGTTATATTTATGACAGTAATGTAGGTGACTTCCTCTCTTCTATGTCCATATTCATTCGTGTTCCTGACACTGAGAAAAATGTTTTCCCTTGTGTTATATGGCCTTATCTACCAATATATGAAGCAGCGACAATGTGATACGACCTTCTTTTCATGTGTATATTATTTTTCTACGTGGTTCATGGCAGTGAGATTGGTGTTTTTCTCTATTTTCTGTGAAATGATCTCAATAACCTCTGTTTATGACAGCAAGATTCATATGTTCCTCTTTCTTCTATGAGTAGATATTATATACCAGTGTTTATTGGAGTGAAATTTACGGTTCCTACCTATATCTATATTTGTGATAGTGACATATGGGAATAATTTGTGTTCCATGACCTTTTACCAACGTATAAGAGAGAGTAATTGATGTGTTCCTAACTATATATGTGACAGTGAGGTTATGACGTTCCTTTCCGTTATAAGAGTTTTAATACCCGTATTTATGACATTGATATGACCTGATGTACCTGTGTTTATGACATTAATATGACCTTAACAACCTGTGTTTATGACATTGATATGACCTTATCTACCTATGTTTATGACATTGATATGACCTTATCTACCCGTGTTTATAACATTGATAAGACCTTCTCTACCTATGTTTATAACATTGATATGACCTTATCTACCCGTGTTTATAACATTGATATGACCTTACCTACCTGTGTTTATGACATTGATATGACCTTATCTACCTATGTTTATGGCATTGATATGACATTATCTACCTATGTTTATAACATTGATATGACCCTATGTACCTGTGTTTATGACATTGATATGACCTTATGTACCTGTGTTTATAACATTGATATGACCTTATGTACCTGTGTTTATGGCATGGATATGACCTTATGTACCTGTGTTTATAACATTGATATGAACTTATGTACCTGTGTTTATGGCATTGATATGACATTATCTACCCGTGTTTATAACATTGATATGACCTTATCTACCCGTGTTTATAACATTGATCATTGATATGACCCTATGTACCTGTGTTTATGACATTGATATGACCTTATGTACCTGTGTTTATAACATTGATATGAACTTATGTACCTGTGTTTATGGCATTGATATGACCTTATGTACCTGTGTTTATAACATTGATATGACCTTATGTACCTGTGTTTATGGCATGGATATGACCTTATGTACCTGTGTTTATAACATTGATATGACCTTATGTACCTGTGTTTATAACATTGATATGACCTTATGTACCTGTGTTTATGGCATTGATATGACATTATCTACCCGTGTTTATAACATTGATATGACCTTACCTACCTGTGTTTATGACATTGATATGACCTTATCTACCTATGTTTATAACATTGATAAGATCTTATCTACCTATGTTTATAACATTGATAAGATCTTATCTACCTATGTTTATAACATTGATAAGATTTATGACATTGATATGACCTTATCTACCCGTGTTTATAACATTGATCATTGATATGACCCTATGTACCTGTGTTTATGACATTGATATGACCTTATGTACCTGTGTTTATAACATTGATATGACCTTATGTACCTGTGTTTATGGCATTGATATGACATTATCTACCCGTGTTTATAACATTGATATGACCTTATCTACCCGTGTTTATAACATTGATATGACCTTATCTACCCGTGTTTATGACATTGATATGACCTTATCTACCAGTGTTTATAACATTGATATTACCTTATCTACCTATGTTTATAACATTGATATGACCCTATGTACCTGTGTTTATGACATTGATATGACCTTATGTACCTGTGTTTATAACATTGATATGA